TTTCTCAGACCACATTGCTAAAACTGCCCGGACCTGCAGAATTGCTTTATTCAACATCAAGAAGATCAGGCCCTTTCTTTCGGAACATGCTTCACAATTCCTTGTTCAAGCTCTTGTTCTGTCCAGGCTGGACTTTTGCAATGCTCTCTTGGCAGGTCTTCCAGCCAGTTCTATCAAAACTTTAGAATTAATCCAGAATGCGGCAGCAAGATTAATTTTTAATGAGCCGAAAAGAATGCACGTCACACCTCTGTTTATCAATTTGCACTGGTTACCAATAGCTGCTTGCGTAAAATTTAAGGCATTGATGTTTGCCTACAAAACCACCACTGGCTCTGCACCCCTTTACCTAAATTCATTACTTCAGAGTTATGTGCCCTCTAGAAGCTTGCATTCTGCAAGTGAACGTCGCTCATGGACTTTTAAATTAAATGTTCCCTCCTGGTGGAATGACCTGCCCAACTCAATTCGAGCAGCTGAGTCCTTAGCCATCTTCAAGAATCGGCTAAAAACACATCTCTTCCATCTTTATTTGACCATCTAACTCTAGCGCTCTCTATTCTAATTCTATTCTTATAAAAAAACTTGCGCCTTTTAGACTTGCACTCTATTCATTTAATAACTGCTTGTTTTCATAAAAAAACTACCACTAGCTTCTAACACTAGCTTCTTTTTATTTATTATACAATTAACAAAAGCAAAAAAGGCCTCTAATACTACCTTGCTCTATTCTTTTTCTATTCTGTTTTCTTTTTATTTATTATATAATTTAAAAAAACCTTGCTACATGTACTACATTAAGCTAACTGAGACTTGTTGTAGCACTTGCATATCATTGCTCTTTTGTTGATTTTGATTGCTTCCATTGTCCTCATTTGTAAGTCGCTTTGGATAAAAGCTTCTGCTAAATGACTAAATGTAAATGTAGTGGAAATCATTAGAATTTTTTTGTGATCGTTCTATAGTTTTTTTTCAGCAGGAATATTTTAGCTATAGCTGCAGTTAGGCAATAATTATATAAGATGGAATATCAAATAGTTTAATCATGAATCATTACATTGTAAAATATACTTATGGAATCTTTTATGAAATGTAAAATAATGGTTTAGTTTCACTATATTCACTATAAAAGTACTATTTTAGTACTTTTGACCTGATGGTTACCCCACTTTACATTTACATCTAGCCTATTCAATTTATTACAATAAAACTTTTAATAAAGTTTTTTAACTGCATGAAAGTAACATTAATATAAAGATCACATGTGTTTTAAATTATATTTTTTAAATGATACCTTTTTTATATTCGCGGACATACTTATTGTCATTGACCAAAAATAAAACATTCTGATCACCTAAATGTCAATATAAAGTCAAAATAGTGACGCGGAAGTATATGGACAACGAAGCGCAGAGTTATGTGACGGTGTGAGCGAGGTAAATATCCTCCCACTATCGCTTTTTCAAATTTGTGAGGGAAAGTGAGTCCGTGCGGAGCGCGAGCGCGTCCCACAATGCATTCGCCACTCAGCGGGAAACCAAAATGGCGAGGGCGAATGAACCAAACCAGCCGTTTACCATAGTGTAAAACACTTAATACGTTAGACTCATCTCTCAAAAGCAGCACCATCTCGATTTACAGCGGAGCGCCTGCTGACCGTTTATGGTGTAATTATTTGTGTTTGTGAGGCATTGTAACCCGGGAAAGTGGCCGAATGAGGTAAGACAGATCCAGATAGGATTCACAATAAAACAAGGGGGTGTGCGGGGGGCTATCATCTCTCACTTACCAGCAGGTAAAAATTACTGGGTTCAATCATACGTTTTCTGATTCCAATGAAACAAACTCTTTAAGCTTTTGAACGGGAGGCTTTTTTTTTTTAAGTCACTTTGTTTTGAATGAGAAATCCGGTTAGCTCTCTCCAGCTATGCTGCTAACAAAAGAGGCTTTTTGCTTTCTCTGTCATTCTGTTTGACCAGCCAATACAAAGTGCACTCATTCCTATAAAATATCCTATTCTGCTTTTACATGCGAAATAACTCTAAAAATCAGCTCCAGGGTAGTTTGAGACTACATTTTCAACCTTTTTTGTTTATTTGAGCATGTCCATTGTGCTTTTTTTGCTTTAGTGTAAGCAAAAGTGTGGTTGACTCATGTTTTTCATGAGGTGTTTTGCTCATTTGACAGAGACTCAGCAAGTGCAGATAACCTGGCTGCCCATCAAAAGTCAACTCCAAATTGCCAGCACAAGTCACAGGTGCCCGTCTCACAATTTCCCCTGAAAGATGGGCTGACAGACACGGCCAAACTCGCCAGCAAGTTTGAAGAAGGGCAGGACGTCCTGGCCCGATGGTCGGATGGCCTCTTTTACCTGGGAACTATCTCCAAGGTGTGTACGAGATCTTGTACAATCAGACGATAATTATTTCAAAATATAAAACACAAATAAATGGAGATCATGTTTTGAGTGTACTACATGAAAAGAATTGGCTGCCTGGGGCAACAGTCATTTATACAGTTTAGTGGTCATTATACAAAAATATGGCCGATCAGAATCATGTACTGTGTTAAGGAGTGCATTACATGGGTTCTAGAAGTAAAAATCCCATTTAATGTCTACATGGGGAAATACATTTAAACAATAATGATAAACTCTTAAATACAGACTTAAGCCCAATTTATACTTCTGCGTCGAGCCTACGGCATAGCCTACGCATAGACACACACCCTACGCCGTAGCCGGACGTGCACCTCTCCAAAAATCTAACAGCGTGTCAATTCTACGCAGACCGCAAGCGCTGTGATTGGTCTCCTAGAACCCCTCCCTCCGTATGTACTTGAGTTTTGTGTGTGTTTATGTGCACTTTTATATATTTTACTATTACACCTTCTTATATAAAATAAAGCAAACAAGTGTCTTATCATTTATTATTTTACTTGGCATTATGCATCAGTAGTTGTCCGCGACAAATAATGTTGATCTGCCGTGGTACAAATCCTTGTGGAGATTGAAAGAATGCCATCTTCTCCTGTTCCGCTGTTGTCTCCTTTTTGTAGTTTTAAATAATGATTTGATATTTATTACATCACGGCTATAATGCTTCTCCGACGAGCCGCTGCTTCTTCGGCTTTTGCCGTGGTACTGCAAGTTACACCAGCAACATGCCTTTGGACATGGCAGACTAGCGGTTTGCATGTGTACTGCACGTCGACGCGGACAACGATGCAGAAGTATAAATGAAAACTGATGCATAGCCTACGCCGTAGGTCCGACGCAGAAGTATAAATCAGCCTTTACTGTGAGCTATGTGGTTGTTAATCAATGGTATATGCTTTTATTGAAGACACCAGCTTGCAAATTTTTGAATAGTTGTTTAACAGCTTAATTCCAAGAGAAAACTACATTACCCATGATTTTGCAAAATAACCCACCAATAAGAGATTCACCAAACAATAAATTGCACCAAAAGAGCTCTGTAGCGCCCACCTACTCCCATGAAGCGCTGTGAATGACTTAAAGGGGTCGTTTCTAAAAAGAACATTGTTGTGTATTTGGTGTAATGCAATGTTTATGTGGTTTAAGGGTAAAAAAACACATTATTTTCCACATAATGTACATTATTGTTGCTCCTAAATGCCCCGCCTTTCTGAAACGCGTCGATTTTTACAAAGCTCATCGTTCTGAAAAGCAAGGTGTATGCTGATTGGCCAGCTATCCAGTGCATTGGGATTGGCTGAATACCTCAAGCGTGTGACTGAAATGTTACGCCCCTTACCATACTGTGATGCCGTGTCCAATGTTCCCTCTAATTTTTTTTCTTGCTGAGCAAAACTTCTCTATTGTACCAGACCTGTACAGCGCACACACAAAAGTGTGTAACTTTTAACTTTAATGTGCTATTTGTATTTAATTTGACCCATGACTAAATGATGTACATTTTAGGTTACCTGAGAAAACTTTTTAAAGTACGAGCGCCAGCACCAGTTTGCTTTTCATGCACTGTATAGCCTATATCATCTGAAGCCATTCCATATTTTAATGTGAGGGACAGAATTGTATTTACATTCAGCCGATCTCTGGGTCTGGTGGTAGCACTTTTAGCTGTAGCTTAGCATAGATCATTGAATGTGATTAGACCGTTAGCATCTCGCTCAAAAATGACCAAAGAGTTTCAATTCTGAATTGCCGATTTTATAGGCCATTATGGCCATTAATATGGCCATTCCGGCGTAATAATCAAGGAACTTTGCTGCCGTACAATGATATTACGCAGTGCCTGAAAATAGTCCCCAGCAAGCTCCCTGTGCAAGCAGGTGGTCACGTTGGTTATGTTGACGGAAGTTAACCTATTTTCAGGCACTGCGTAATATCATTGCGCCTGCTGCACCCATGGTACGGCAGCAAAGTTCCTTGATTATTACGCAGGAATGAGAGTATAGTTCCAACTTTTCATTTTCCGTCGGTCTTAGTACACGACATAACTACAGAAGAGTCAAGTTTTAAATAGGAAAAAAAAAAATTTAGAAACTCTTTGGTCATTTTTGAACGAGATGCTAACGGTCTAATCCGATTCAAAGATCTATGCTAAACTACAGCTAAAAGTGCTACTGCCAGACCCGGAGATCGGCTGAATGGATTAGAAAACAGTAGAACTCAACTGTTTAACTCTAGGGGAGTTGGAAAATGAGCCTATTTTCAAAAATAGTGGCGTGTTCCTTTAAACCTAGCCAAAAAGCCATGTGCTGACTGTGAGAAACAGTAGACTTTAATTACATGTATTTATGGTGTAATTACTAAATTTGTGTCAATCCATGTTCATATTTACTGCAAACAATGCGCTGTCACTTTAATTCAGCGCTTGCAGCGCAGCAATAGACTCGGTGTGGAAACGATCTCTGCACTGCTGCAGATGCACCGCTCCTGAACGCACTGCCGGGCCGCAGCTGTGTGCAGTGAACGCTTTAATCCGTTAACATGAGCGCGGAAAAAATACGCACCACATATGCACTGCAAACGGAATAATGTGAATTTGGCATTATGTGTGTGCGCTGCAAGTGTGCATGAGCACTCACGGTCTCCAGGAGAGAACACTGGCAAGAATTAAAAAGTAATACAATTTGTAAACTTTAGTAAAGATGTGACACTGCCTCGATTGTGCAAGTGACAATTCCTGTGTCAACTGTGCAGCTCGCTTATAGACAGACGCGATGTGGTGATTTGAAGACATTTGCGTATTTTGAGAGAGAACGAGAGCGCGTGCGCGAGTGGTGATTCACTCACGCTGTTTGTGAAATTGTCTCACACGAGGTTTTCAAATGACTAAGTTATTTAATGAAGAAATATAAAGGTGAGTACCTCACCTTCAGCATTATAATTATTTCACCCGCGCCAGACAGAGACTGAGACAGTGCTGCTGCATGTCGTGCCAAACCTCTCACGGCAGCGTCATCAGCTTGAGATCGGTTTTTGGAGATCAGCCTTTTTAGAGACCGCCGATCAAATATCCTAACGTGATTATCGGCCGATACTGATCGGTAGCCGGTAGGGCTGGGTATCGGGTTCTATACTTTTTAGGCACTGACCGAATTGCCTCGATACTATCGAAAAACGTCGTTCGGTACCAAATTTCGATACCTAAGGGGTTAATCTCATGAGTCAGTGAGGCGCAGATCGATCAGTGTTTGACATCCGCGAGAGCGATGCGAAAACGTACGGAGCAATCTACTCGTGGTATCTTACTATAGCCTAATACACCGATAGGTCTGCACAGTCGGTCCGCGACTGTGACACTCAGAGATGTGGCTCACATGTGAGTATTTAGTGTGAATGCGTCCCAGCCCCCGTAGCTGTAAGGCTACATTTACACTGGTGCGCTTTTGTTTTAAAATGAAAAAGATCCTCGTCTTACTGGCGTTTCCACTGCGTTTCAAGCCGGCTTTCCACTATCTCCGACAAATGACAGACCGAAAGTCATTCATTTCCAATGGAGAGTAGCGCGGGAGCTGTGTAGCGTTTCAGTCATATGAAGATGTCCGTTCATACTACAAGACCGAAAGCGCGTGTTATGTGACCATTCATGCACACTGTAGCATCATGCTACATAAGACCAGGGTTTAAATTGCACCGGGCCGTCTGGGGCTGAGCCCCGGCACTTAACATTATAGACTCCAGGGCTTGACATTAACTCTTCATTAACGCCAGACAAGTAACATGATTAAAACATCAGTAACCAAAAATAACTATGTAAACACCAAAACGCAATATTATTCTGATTTTATTACATTTAGAGTAAGTGGCGAATAGTAGATATAGCTACTGTATATAATGCATCTATTGACAGTATAAGGTTGCGCTGCTGAGGCGAGGCTCCCCGCAGCCTCTCAGGAGAAATCAAACTTAGCAACACTAAGAAACTCCGCATCCTGAGGTAAAAATTCAAAATGGAAAGTTTTTATATTTAAAATACAGTTAGTTAGGCAACATCACACAACGTTTTCACCATTATAAATCGTTTTAATTTAGTTGAAAAGTGTCATTTCCACCATAATTTCTTGTTTGTATATTAAAAAATATTTAAAATAATCTCTTAATTATTTAATGCAGTTGTATTTTTCAGTGTCAATTTAATTTATAGATCAAATGTAAGAATTTGAAAT